AACAGCCCATCGTGCCAGTAGCTGTTACTCAATACCTCATCCCTGTGCACAACTCTTTTGTGACCTTGCCTTAGTGGCAAGGTCACATCTTGTCTTTGATGAAAGGAATTTTGGGGATGAAGTAGAACAAATCTTTATTGGTAATGACATACCTGCCTGCATATACGTCCATTCCAATGCAACCATAGGCCCTCTTGTCTAAGCTACCATGCTCAATAAGTCTGTCTTTGTGTTCATGGGCTCGGGAGCACAAGCAACTATTATCCATTCCAAACTCATCATGGATAAGCAAATTTGTCGTATAATGCTTGTAGAACCTACTCGTGTTACCACCCCTCAGTGGAGTGGCCAATTCTATTGTGCTTGTCTGAAGCCAGACTTCTCTCACCTTCTCTACTCAAGGTCGAGATTTTACTGCATTCTTCCTAGTTGTAGACCAGATCAAGTTTCTTGGTGATCTTGTTAGATTTGTATCAATGCATGATCTGCAAACTGTGCCTGACCCATTTGAATGGCAAGCCCAAATTGGTGACTTGGTTGTTCCATTCTGGGGTTACCAGTTTGGTTCTGAAATTTGAGAGCTGGATTAAACCCTTACAAACTTGTATTATTGCTAGTAATATAACCAAAGCAGTAAGGCACTGGTAACACTGTATTACCCACCTGGTGACCTGAAACCACAACTTCTCTCTCACAGGATAGTGTGAGGATACCTCAGGTGCCAGAGGATGATCAGACAGATCTAAGTTCTGGGACTACTACTGCGAGGGTTGCTAGTTCATGTGGTAGTTTACTGTCGGAAAGCGACTGCTTGACACAGCTTGTGCCTTCTCTTGTGGATGTTACAGACTGTCTGCAGAGGGACGCCTCTGTCATTGTTCTGGATGGTGATCATGTGATTATTACTGGTGACTTGTGCACTATAAAGGGTCTGTTTGTCAAGCCACCATTGCACATTCTACAAGATGGCAAAGTCAATGTCATTCTTGCAAATACTGCTGGTTAGAGTGCCCAACTCAAGAGTGAACACCAACCTTGCAGACTTCATTCACTACCTGTATCCTGTTCGGGTAAGGGACGAGTTGTCATTCTGTTTACCCAGAGTCCATCTTTCCCACTAGTGGAAGAAAGTACTTTGGCTCCCACTGAATTCCCAAAGTGAAGCCACAGGTCTTTGCCAAGTACTGAACAATTTGTAGCTTTGCTAGGTGAGAAAACTAGTTTAACAAATTTAACCCCTTCAGGGTCCATGCCGTAGTTCTACGGCTTTGAGTTCTGGGTCCAAACTGTAGAGCTACGCCATGAGCTCAGCTCACTCAGATAAGCTGTGAGCAGTAAATTTGGGCATAGATAGGAGAGAATATATCTATGTGGTAAGTGTGCACCACATAAAGATAATCCTGCAGCATGCAGTGCATGAGAGAAAAAAAAGTGAGACCATAATTTTCGATTAAAACAGCAACTTTGCGGTGTTTTATAAGACATGTTATTTATAGTTGTATTTGCAATTTCTTGGTCTCACTTGATAGAATGGAAGATATAGTACAGAAACAGAGATGATTTTGATTGGTTTTAGTATTGAAAATGGCTTGAAACCGAGCTCGAAGTAGTGGAAATGTTAAATTTTTGCTCGTGTTCAAGAGTAAACAAATCACATCACTCATCCAATAGATGTCAGCTGGTGGGTCTTATGTGCATTCACAAATGCTCTGACATTACTTATACGATTATTGCAATACTGCATAACAGTAAATCTTCCACTTTTTGGTTTGAATAAAAATTCATTATGTTAATAAAGAATCAAAATGGAATTCATTTGTAAAGCCTGAAAACATAACTAATGAACAGGGCAAATATTAGTTTAGTGCCAGGAATGCCTGCATGGTTTATTCTGGACCCTATTTTGAAATAGGAATATTCTGAACTTTGTGTTAAATCGGCCAAATTACCAATTTCCGATCACTTTATTAGGTAGTTGAAACATTTGACTTGGTGATTTCTTGTGCTCAATCGATAAAACAGAAGTAATACTAGTGAAATGGCTAAGAATTTAGTCGACTAGAATAATGTAACTGGCCTTAAATGGGAGTCAAAGTTGGCAAAATCGCTGATGCGTAAATATCGCTGACACGTCAAAATTTGCGAGAGCAAAATTTCGTCAATTTTCCATCAAATTTCGTACTTTTTGTTTTATTACCTTCAGAAAAAGATTCTCTACCATTTAATAAGAAAAAAAAATTTTTTTTTTTTAATTCTTGGACCCTGTGGACACATCTCAGATTTTGGGTCTGGACCCTGAAAGGGTTAATGTCACACTGTATCCCACATAAGCCTGGTACCAGACTTACTTATATACCTGTTTATAGGCTACTACATTCACAGGTTGCTATGGCAGAAGAATTTATCACTAAGATGCTTGATGATAGTGTCACCACTCACAGCAAATCACCCTGGAGCATGCCTCTGATCTTAGTACCCAGGAAAGATGGTACAGTAGAACCTCGGTTTACAAATTTAATCCATTCCATGACCTTGTTCGTATCCCGATTTGTTCATATGCAGAGTCAATTTTCCTCGTTTAAATTAACTGAAACACCATTAATCCATTCCAGTGGAATTCCTGCTCTCAGGGGGCACGACAAAATACTTGAATATGATGCTAATATCAATCTACGGCTTATTTATCCATCACAATTCATCTAATATGACATAATAAACAATAAAAATAACATAGAAACCTGATATACACTCTAGAATGAATAAAATGTCATTACATGTGTGGCTAGTGGTGACAGCGGTGGGGGAGAGTGGTCGTAGGCATTCTTGCTCCTGCTATGAAAACGTCTTCCCATGTTTCCCCTTCAGAGATGTTATTATAAGAGAAAACGGAGTTTGTGAGGCTAACTGCATTAGATCACTACTTTCATAAGGAAAACATAATATAGAAATAAACTGGTGTACATACACCATTTACCTTGGAGAAGAAATGCTGGCGAAGGTTGACAGTGGGAAAGATAGGCAGAGCAGCGCATGCTGTCAGGAGCTCATTTCATTTCATCCTTTTTCTATTTCTTAATTGTTTAACTTAATTGCTACACTCCTAATGCTACACTTTACATGAAATGTAAGGAAAACACGAGAATTCCTTCCACCGCGAGGTAAGCTCCATTACACGTGCACCGGTGAGCGTTGTTTTGGTACTCACTCTGCCATCGCGTGGTGGCGTTCTGAAACTCACTTATTACAGTATGCATTATTATTATTATAATTATTATTATTATAGTATTATGATACATATTATTATTATATTATTATTACATTATTATTATACATATTATTATTATTACATATTATTAGTAGTAGTAGTATGTATGTATTACAATAATAATAATTATTATTATTAATTTAGGGAACTGGAGCACAGATCCAATTCCCTAGATGAAGAGCCCCTCACTAAGAAACCTCCCTTGAGGGGGGAAGTTCGGATCCCAAAATTTCGTTCACATCTAGAAGCAAAAAATCAACCGAGTGACTGTTCGTATCCTGAAAAAGTCACATGGTGGGGCATTCATAAACCGAGGTTCCACTGTACTTGATATTCTGTGATGGATTTTCAGAAGCTGAATGGTGAAACTATTCCATAATGTTTCCCACTTGCAGTTCTTGGTGACTTGTTATAAAACACTGATGACAATAAAAACAATTCCACTCTAGAATTGTTGCAAGGGTTTTGGTAGGTCCCTGTCGATGAGGACAACCAAGAGTTACCAGCCTTCTCTACCACTACAAGTATCCTCAAATGGCCTGCAACTTACGCTCCTCACCTATCACATTCTCGAGGCTAACGATACATTTTTAGAAACTTCACAGGCAACACCCTCATGGTGTACCTACACAACATAATTGTCATGTCAAAAGATGTGAAGACACATCTCAAGAGACTTGATTTGAAGAAGCTAATCTGAAGATAAAGCTTTCAGAATGTCAGTTCCTTAGGTCAGAGATCAAATTTCTTGGTCATGTAGTCACTCCTAAAGGGGTTATGACAGGTGGGGTTACCAGGTGTTTAAGTGCTCATGTTTCTTCCACAGCAGCTTACTTAACAGAATTATTCAAAAAAGATGCTCCTTTCACTTGGATATTCCATCAAGAAAGAGCATTTCAGACACTAAAAGTTAAGCTAACTTCTGCTCTTGTTATAAAATTCCTTAATTTTGAAAAGCCTTTTTGCGTGACCACAGACACTAGTGTTATTGGCATAGGTGCCATCCTAGCACAAAAGACTAATGACAAGTTTAACACACACACACACACACACAGTATAAACTAATAACATATTTCTAGCAAGGTACTTGAAGGAGACACCAGACCTGCCTGGTGTTTGCCAAGTAACTAAAGAAGTGGTCCACGACCACTCAGTTATGACCTTCAGGTATGACTGAAGTAAAGCTACAACTTATTATACATGACTTAACAAATGAGGCAAATACACTGCTTACTTTATTATTATTATTATTATTATTATTATTATTATTATTATTATTATGATTATTATTATTATTATTATTATTATTATTATTATTATTATTACTATTATTATCATTAACACTGGCCACCTCCACCAAGGCCGGGTGACCCAAAAAAGAAAAAAGAAAAGTTTTTATTTTTACATTTAGAAGAAGGGGTTACTAGCCCTTTGCTCCCTATTATTATTATTATTATTATTAACATCATCATTTTTAGTATGAGAAGAGTGATAGTATGTTGAAGAAAGTTAAGAAGTGGAGGTAACAAGTATCCCATTAGTAACATTTATTACTGTTACTTTAACAAAAAAACACTCTTATTACTGTTACTTTAGTATCACTATAATCACTGTCTTGCTTCTTAAAGTAACACAGACACTGCTGTGTTACTTTAAGAAGCAAGAGAGTCACTATAGTGTTACTTTAAGAAGCAATAGTCACTATAGAGTTACTTTAAGTAATACACAGTGTTACCTTGAGGTCACGCTGGAGACGTGAGTTTATCTCCTGCGCCTTGACCAGTTCCTTCTGAGTTGCTTGCAGGTTGTCCTCCAGTTCTTGTAGACGGTTCTGAAGTTCACGCACTCGCTCCCTGGCAGCGTTCAGCTCTGCTGTCTGCCAGGCGCCAACCATGCCAAATAAACAAGTGCAAGAAGACATTAAGACATTCAACTAAAGGGCACACCTTAATGCCCTAAATAAACAAGAAATCTACACAAGAGAAGGAGGGAAGCTTGGGAGAATGATACAGTGGTGGGAGAATGATACAGTGGTGGGAGAATGGTACAACGGAGACAGCTGGTAGTGAGGGACAGCAGGCAGTGACAGCTGGTAGTAAGAGACAGCAGGTAGCGAGAGACAGCAGGTAGCGAGAGACAGTTGGTAGTGAGAGACAGCAGATAGTGAGAAACAGTTGGTAGCAAGAGACAGCTGATATTAAGAGACAGCAGGTAGTGATAGCTGGTAGTGAGAGACAGCTGGTAGTGAGGCAGAGCAGATAGTGACAGCTGGTAGTGAGAGACAGCAGGTAGTGAGAGACAGCACGTAGTGACACATGGTAGTAAGAGACAGCAGGTAGTGACACATGGTAGTGAGAGACAGCAGGTAGTAACACATGGTAGTGAGAGACAGCAGGTAGTGACACATGGTAGTGAGAGACAGCAGGTAGTAACACATGGTAGTGAGAGACAGCAGGTAGTAACACATCGTAGTGAGAGACAGCAGGTAGTAACACATGGTAGTGAGAGACAGCAGGTAGTGACACATGGTAGTGAGAGACAGCAGGTAGTGACACATGGTAGTGAGAGACAGCAGGTAGTGAGAGACAGCAGGTAGTAACACATGGTAGTGAGAGACAGCAGGTAGTGAGAGACAGCAGGTAGTAACACATGGTAGTGAGAGACAGCAGGTAGTAACACATGGTAGTGAGAGACAGCAGGTAGTAACACATGGTAGTGAGAGACAGCAGGTAGTGAGAGACAGCAGGTAGTAACACATCGTAGTGAGAGACAGCAGGTAGTGACACATGGTAGTGAGAGACAGCAGGTAGTGAGAGACAGCAGGTAGTAACACATCGTAGTGAGAGACAGCAGGTAGTGACACATGGTAGTGAGAGACAGCAGGTAGTGAGAGACAGCAGGTAGTAACACATCGTAGTGAGAGACAGCAGGTAGTGACACATGGTAGTGAGAGACAGCAGGTAGTGAGAGACAGCAGGTAGTAACACATGGTAGTGAGAGACAGCAGGTAGTGACACATGGTAGTGAGAGACAGCAGGTAGTGAGAGACAGCAGGTAGTGAGTGACAGCAGGTAGTGAGTGACAGCAGGTAGTGAGTGACAGCAGGTAGTGAGTGACAGCAGGTAGTGAGAGACAGCAGGTAGTGAGAGACAGCAGGTAGTGAGAGACAGCAGGTAGTGAGTGACAGCAGGTAGTGAGTGACAGCAGGTAGTGAGAGATAGCAGGTAGTGCGAGACAGCAGGTAGTGAGAGACAGCAGGTAGTGAGAGACAGCAGGTAGTGAGAGACAGCAGGTAGTGAGAGACAGCAGGCAGTGAGAGACAGCAGGTAGTGAGTGACAGCAGGTAGTGAGAGACAGCAGGTAGTGAGAGACAGCAGGTAGTGAGTGACAGCAGGTAGTGAGTGACAGCAGGTAGTGAGTGACAGCAGGTAGTGAGTGACAGCAGGTAGTGAGAGACAGCAGGTAGTGAGAGACAGCAGGTAGTGAGTGACAGCAGGTAGTGAGAGATAGCAGGTAGTGCGAGACAGCAGGTAGTGAGAGACAGCAGTAGTGAGAGACAGCAGGTAGTGAGAGACAGCAGGTAGTGAGAGACAGCAGGTAGTGAGAGACAGCAGGTAGTGAGAGACAGCAGGTAGTGAGAGACAGCAGGTAGTGAGAGACAGCAGGTAGTGAGAGACAGCAGGTAGTGAGAGACAGCAGGTAGTGAGAGACAGCAGGTAGTGAGAGACAGCAGGTAGTGAGAGACAGCAGGTAGTGAGAGACAGCAGGTAGTGAGAGACAGCAGGTAGTGAGAGACAGCAGGTAGTGCGAGACAGCAGGTAGTGAGTGACAGCAGGTAGTGAGAGACAGCAGGTAGTGAGTGACAGCAGGTAGTGAGAGACAGCAGGTAGTGAGTGACAGCAGGTAGTGAGAGATAGCAGGTAGTGAGAGACAGCAGGTAGTGAGAGACAGCAGGTAGTGAGAGACAGCAGGTAGTGAGTGACAGCAGGTAGTGAGAGATAGCAGGTAGTGCGAGACAGCAGGTAGTGAGAGACAGCAGGTAGTGAGTGACAGCAGGTAGTGAGAGATAGCAGGTAGTGCGAGACAGCAGGTAGTGAGTGACAGCAGGTAGTGAGAGACAGCAGGTAGTGAGAGACAGCAGGTAGTGAGAGACAGCAGGTAGTGAGAGACAGCAGGTAGTGAGAGACAGCAGTAGTGAGAGACAGCAGGTAGTGAGAGACAGCAGGTAGTGAGAGACAGCAGGTAGTGAGAGACAGCAGGTAGTGCGAGACAGCAGGTAGTGAGAGACAGCAGGTAGTGAGTGACAGCAGGTAGTGAGTGACAGCAGGTAGTGAGTGACAGCAGGTAGTGAGTGACAGCAGGTAGTGCGAGACAGCAGGTAGTGAGTGACAGCAGGTAGTGAGAGATAGCAGGTAGTGCGAGACAGCAGGTAGTGCGAGACAGCAGGTAGTGCGAGACAGCAGGTAGTGCGAGACAGCAGGTAGTGAGAGACAGCAGGTAGTGAGAGACAGCAGGTAGTGAGAGACAGCAGGTAGTGAGAGACAGCAGGTAGTGAGAGACAGCAGGTAGTGAGAGACAGCAGGTAGTGAGAGACAGCAGGTAGTGAGAGACAGCAGGTAGTGAGAGACAGCAGGTAGTGAGAGACAGCAGGTAGTGAGAGACAGCAGGTAGTGAGAGACAACAGGTAGTGCGAGACAGCAGGTAGTGAGAGACAGCAGGTAGTGAGAGACAGCAGGTAGTGAGAGACAGCAGGTAGTGAGAGACAGCAGGTAGTGAGAGACAGCAGGTAGTGAGAGACAGCAGGTAGTGCGAGACAGCAGTAGTGAGAGACAGCAGGTAGTGAGAGACAGCAGGTAGTGCGAGACAGCAGGTAGTGAGAGACAGCAGGTAGTGAGAGACAGCAGGTAGTGAGAGACAGCAGGTAGTGAGAGACAGCAGGTAGTGAGAGACAGCAGGTAGTGAGAGACAGCAGGTAGTGAGAGACAGCAGGTAGTGAGAGACAGCAGGTAGTGAGAGACAGCAGGTAGTGAGAGACAGCAGGTAGTGAGAGACAGCAGGTAGTGAGAGACAACAGGTAGTGCGAGACAGCAGGTAGTGAGAGACAGCAGGTAGTGCGAGACAGCAGGTAGTGAGAGACAGCAGGTAGTGCGAGACAGCAGGTAGTGAGAGACAGCAGGTAGTGAGAGACAGCAGGTAGTGAGAGACAGCAGGTAGTGAGAGACAGCAGGTAGTGAGAGACAGCAGGTAGTGCGAGACAGCAGGTAGTGAGAGACAGCAGGTAGTGCGAGACAGCAGGTAGTGCGAGACAGCAGGTAGTGAGAGACAGCAGGTAGTGAGAGACAGCAGGTAGTGAGAGACAACAGGTAGTGCGAGACAGCAGGTAGTGAGAGACAGCAGGTAGTGCGAGACAGCAGGTAGTGAGAGACAGCAGGTAGTGCGAGACAGCAGGTAGTGAGAGACAGCAGGTAGTGCGAGACAGCAGGTAGTGAGAGACAGCAGGTAGTGAGAGACAGCAGGTAGTGAGAGACAGCAGGTAGTGAGAGACAGCAGGTAGTGAGAGACAGCAGGTAGTGCGAGACAGCAGGTAGTGAGAGACAGCAGGTAGTGCGAGACAGCAGGTAGTGCGAGACAGCAGGTAGTGAGAGACAGCAGGTAGTGAGAGACAGCAGGTAGTGAGAGACAGCAGGTAGTGCGAGACAGCAGGTAGTGAGTGACAGCAGGTAGTGAGAGACAGCAGGTAGTGAGAGACAGCAGGTAGTGAGAGACAGCAGGTAGTGAGAGACAGCAGGTAGTGAGAGACAGCAGGTAGTGAGAGACAGCAGGTAGTGAGAGACAGCAGGTAGTGAGAGACAGCAGGTAGTGAGAGACAGCAGGTAGTGCGAGACAGCAGGTAGTGAGTGACAGCAGGTAGTGCGAGACAACAACTCATAATTGACAAATTTATGTAAAACAAAAATTTATCAGTGTAACAGTAACTAACAGTGAGTGTAACAGTGACTGTAACAGTGAGTGTAACAATGTAACAGTGAGTGCAGCAGTGTAACAGTGAGTGTAGCAGTGCATGTGACAGTGAATATAACAGTGTGACAGTGAGTGTAGCAGTGCATGTAACAGTGAGTGTAACAGTGTGACAGTGAGTGTAGCAGTGCATGTAACAGTGAGTGTAACAGTGTGACAGTGAGTGTAGCAGTGCATGTAACAGTGAGTGTAACAGTGATTGTAGCAGTGCGTGTAGCAGTGTAACAGTGAGTGTAGCAGTGCATGTAACAGTGAATGTAGCAGTGTAACAATGAGTGTAGCAGTGTAACTGAGTGTAGGAGTGTAACAGTGAGTGTAACAGCGACTTTAACAGTGAGTGTAACAATGTAACAGGGAGTGTAACAGTGTATGTAATAGTGAGTGTAACAATGTAATTGAGCACAACAGTGAGTGTAACAGTGAGTAGCAGTGTAACTGCATTTAACAGAGTGCAACACTCTAACAGTGCATTTAACAGTGTAGCACTGTAACAGTGAGTGTAGCAATGTAACAGTGCATGTAACAGTGTAACAGTGAGTGTAGCAGTGCTTGTAACAGTGAGTGTGACAGTGAGCATAGCAGTGTAACAGTGAGTGTACCAGTGTAACAATGAGTGTAACATTGAGCATAGCAGTGTAACAGTGTAACAGTGAATACAGCTGTGTAACAGTGAGTGTAGCAGTGTATGAGTGAGCATAGCAATGTAACAGTGTAACAGTGAGCATAGCAATGTAATGGTGAGTGTAGCAGTGTAACAGTGGGTGTAGCAGTGTAACAGTGGGTGTAGCAGTGTAACAGTGAGTGTAGCAGTGTAACAGTGGGCATAGCAGTGTATCAATGAGTATAGCAGTGTAACAG